GAAGGAAGGAAGGAAGGAAGGAAGGAAGGAAGGAAGGAAGGAAGGAAATCCTATTACTACTATTCAGCAAAGAGTAAGGAGAGAAAGGCAATAGTTAAATTGGTAGAAAAGATAAGTAGAATTTGGAATGGTACCAAAAATTAGTTATGGATGTGCAGAACCATTTTAGGCAAACTGTAAATTATCACAACTCACTCCCTCTCCCCATACCCACCCTGATCAAAAATAAACGCCACAGTTAAAAACAGCATATAATATTGAACTTCAAAAAGGCACGATTTTGGCTATTACCGTTTAGGTGGATTTTTCCTTTTATTGTATTGGAAAGAGCAAGGCAATAGAATACAAGAAAGTTCCAGCGTAAAGAGGAGAAAGAAAGAACAGAAAGACAAAAGAATTATAAGTATTACGTTTAACTGCTGCTACTATTAACAAGTCACCAAACAAAATAATTTAATAATTATTTTATTTTCCCAAGGAAAAAACCCTATTGGCTTACTTGAGCCTCATTTCACCCTCTCAATTTCTTCACTTAAGTTTGGCAGAAAGCTGAGGGATGAATTGGAAAACTCCCAACCTGTCATTGAAGCTTATATAGCTACTAAAAACAATCATATGCATGTAGCCAATTACTCCACAAGCAACAACAACAAAACCCCCATGTTTGATCCTACTGGGCATATTGATGTTTTTTTTCTTCAAAATGTGGGATCCTTTATAATTACTTTTGAATAAGCAAAGACTCTCCACTATTAACTACCCTCTACCTGGGCAACTTCATGGACATCAGCTCAACTTTACTGAGAAGATAGGCTACTCATCGCAACCCCCACTGTGACTGGTCCTTTTTTTACAATACCTGAACAGGGTTATAGAATCTCGTATAAGAAGATCACAAAGACCTTCTAAAAATCCAGGTGATTTTTCCATCTCTGCTTAACAATTTCTATCGCACAGAAACTCATCATGTTCACTCTGGAGCTACCTCTTGCTATTCAGATCTTTCTTCTGATGTTTAGTATCAAACTCCTTCCTAAACTTTCTGAGTGAATTCAGTAACTTAGTGTATACATTTACTTCTCTTTGTCATATTTTCATCTTACACTAAAAAAATAAAAGTAATTACTGTGGTACCTTGGTACTCAACTGCTTTGAGACTTTTAAAAAGAGATTGGACCGCCATTTGTCAGAAATGATGTAGGGTCTCCTGCTTGGGCGTTGGACTAGATGACCTACAAGGTCCCTTCCAACTCTGTTAATCTGTAAATCTGTCTTCATTGAATTTGGTACTCTACATATTTTGATGTGAAAATTTTGTCCCAGTACTCATTCTTTGCTTGATACTCAATGCATAAGCTATAGCTTATCAGATGTCGATTGCCTTGTTCCTACATTATAGCTTATGGGAAAAATTTGTATAGTACTTATCATTTTTGGTACTCATCACACCTCCTGGAACCAATTAATGATGAATACCGATGTATCCCTGTACACAGACTAAAATTATCTAAATAAAATACTGAATAGAAAAAAGAGGAAAGGATATAACTTTCAGATTCAACCTTCCCCAATGTAGTATCTTTCTCAATTCTACTAATGTAGTACAATGTCAACAATTCTGATCATTCCTAGGTCATAGAATACACCACAGAGAGGTGGTCATTTTAGTTCAACACATCTGGAGAAAAGCAACTGGAGAAAGTTAATTTACTGCATACTTTTTTTCAATTCTTTCAACAAAACAAAAAATATTATTACAAAACCTATTACCAAACTTAGAGGAAATGGAAGTTAATTCAAAAAGTCTGCCTACAGAATACAGCAATTATTTTATATAAACTGAAGCTCAAACATTAAGAGAGTGATTAGTAAAGTACTTACACCTCATCAGGGTTACTGAAGGAATGAGGGACAGAAAAGAGACAAACAATGGACATGATTCCAGGATGTTCAAATACAGATAAGGAATAACATAGAAAATGGGAGCAAAAATAATAGTTAATGAAAGTTAATTGTAATATTAAAGACAGATAGGAAAAAAGAGTTTCATTTAAATCATAAATATCAGGTAAAGCTAACAGTATCCAATTGGTTTTTCTAGAATAATTTCTTGCTGACTTTTACCAGCAGTTACCATATCATGCCATAAGATGGCGGCACAAGCTAAGGTAAAGTCATGGTAAATTTACTTCTTCCCGAAGTCAATGGGAGAATAAGGGAAGAGCAGAGAAAGAGGCTGAAAACTCCTTGAATTAAATTTTATTCTAATAAATGCCTTCATTTTTACTGCATTTAGCAACATTTGACTATCTCAATAGGGGGGGGGAAATCACCCATTTTAATGTCTAATCACATACATTAAAGAGACTCTTTTGCTGTTATCTCTACTGTTTGCCAGTTACTCATGACAAAATGTAATATTGTAATTAAAACCAACACACCAGTGAAAGTGCAAACAATTTATGTTGCTTTAACTTCAAAAGCCAAGGCTCTATTTTGCTTAATTTTAATTCCAGGACAGCCAAACATGCCAATTATTTAAAGCACAACTCCATTCTAGTGAAACGAATACTAACTTTGTCACTGTCGTAACCTGTAAAGGGGGTTGAAAAAATATGTCAATATGTTTATTACAGCAACTTCCCTACTGTTTTACTTTATCATACCCAAACCATTTAAAAGTTCAAGTGTTTTCACACATTTCAAACCAATATAAATAATCTATTTCATCCCGTGATTAGCTCAAGGGGTCCATCTAATACAAAATTTCCATGCATGAATTAAGAAAGCAATTCAAAGCAAACACACATGCATTTAAAAAGCAAACCACTAGTCCAGTGTTTCTGACACTTGTGTGGATTGTTATCTCGCAGAATTTTCCAGTGAGCAGCCTAGAGTTAAAATCCACACATTTAAAGTTGCCAAGTTTCAGAAACACCTGATTAGTTATTCACTGCCCCATAGCAGAAACTCTTTTCAAGATGTGCTCTTTTCAGTAGGACATGCATGTTGATTTTAAATTTATAAACTGCCAAAATTTAAGGACCACTCTATTTTAAGACAGATTTAAATAGGAAGTGGGATAGATTAAACATTTTACTTCAGTTATTGATTACACAGTGACTGATTTGCACAGGATACTAAAACATTTGCTTCTGCATTTTGGTCTAAGAAGTGCTAATCCATCCACTAGGTGTCCTATGCTCCTACTATTGAGTTACTTTTGATACTGGTGAAGTGGAAATAGCAGTTTCTATCTCTATAGACAAACATGACAAATCCTAATATTATTATATTTATCTGACAACTTTAGCTAAATTAATTTAAGAGGTGCAGTTATGCACTTAGAAATTAATGTTATCTTTGAGAAAAAATAAAGCATCAGTAATCATACATCTTACTCTACAACAAACTTGAGTTCATTTATACCAAAGGTGCTTTTTCAAAAGGCAACTAGACTTTCTGGTTTTTCTTTGTAGATGTTTTGCTTCTCATCCAAAAAGAAGCTCCTTGGGTGAGAAGTGAAACATCTGCAAAGAAAAACCAGAAAGTCCAGTTGCCTCTTGAAAAAGCACCTTTGGGACAACCAAGACCTGGATGACTGAGAATCTCCATAGACATTGAGTTCATTTAGTTTTTGAAACCAATATATTTTCAGAAATAGGGAAGAGTATGTTGTACAGTGCATAAGTTGGTGGTTGGACTAAGGTGGTATTAAGCTGGTGAACCAAGGAACATCAGGTTCTAGTTCTTCCTTAGCTACAGAAACCTATGACTTTGGTTGAGTTACACCTCAGTCTTAATCAGCTTCAGACTCTGTGACAGGTGGCTGATGAACAAAATTCTCATCCCAAAGATACCACTTGGTATCTTTTCTGGAAAAACTAGAGAAGTGCATTCAGAAGAACAAGCAGACTCAACAATATTGGATAAAGGCTTCAACAACATCTGTATTTTCCTAAAATTTAAATCTATTGGATTCAAGGCAAGTATTCCAGACTTTCACGACTGCTGAGTCATTATAATACATTTTTGTTCAAAGTTGATGTGGCAGAAGTAAGTAGACGCTTTTAAAGTGCCAATTCAACCATGAGCTTCCCTAGATCACAGGTGTCAAACTCATGGCGTCATGTTGCCATCACATATTGTAATGTTTTTCCCCTTTGTGGAGCTGGGGTGGGCGTGGCCTGTGTGATGCATCCGGCCCATGGACCACCAGTTTGACACCCCTGTGCTAGATGATTACTATCAGGTACATCAGGTAACAATAGTGTCTTGGATCAAAAAGACTCAAAAAGGAAATGGAAAACAATATTTTTAAATAAAAAAAAAAACTAGAAATATTAAACACAAACACAGCCCAATTCTCTATAATTATCTACATATTTACCCTAAGGCAAAACCTTTGATTTTCAACAGCCTTGTACCTCTATGCATATAAAATTGTGGCAGGCTTAATAATTGCATATAATTGTTTTAAAAGTCTGCATGCCCCTTATAATATAAATCTTTATTTAGTATTGAATTTCATGTTAATCTTATGAGAATTTCATTCGAGGATGCAAGGGCCACCGGTGTTCTCATTTTATACGCTGACAAATAAACTACTCTTTTCTCTGAATTAATCTGTAATCTCTGCAAGCAATTCCTTAAGATACAAAGGTAGGGCCATTTTAATTGCTAGAGTTCAATCTCAAACTACATTGCTTGAAAAGATATAGTGCTACCATCTATGACTGTTTCAGTAAACAGATTGTATTACTAAGCGCTAAATATATTTGTAAAAAAGGGCAGTGCAACATCTCAGTGTTTAATCAGCACCAGATTTTTCATGTGCAAGCAAATTCTTCTTACACAAATAACTGCACAAGCATCATTTGAAACCATATTTTAAGATTTTGCACCTTGTCAGGACACCTCAGTCAGTTTTAAAGAACAGAGAGATAACACTTGGGTTGACCCTACCAGCTGCATTTATTATGAAACTTAAAAGCTTGAAAAATCAAAACCATTTAGTTCAGGGGTGTCAAACTCAAGGGGTCCGGCCCATGGTGCCAGTCTGAAAATAGCAAAGAACCGTCCAAAGTGCCTTTACTAGCAAAAACTAGATATGGGGGTCGGTCCCTTGCACCCTGGTTTCAGCCTGGATGGCCTCCTGGATGGCCAAAATGGGGCATGGGCATTTTGGCCCGCAGGGTGCTGTAGGAGGCATCCGTCCCGTTTGCCATCCATCCTGTCTACCCCCTCCCCCCCGGATGACCCGCGGAAGACAACTACAATGCTGATCCAGCCCTCAAAGAAATCCAGTTTGACACCCCTAATTTAGTTCAACAACTTGATTCAAAAAAGCCTTCAATCCAAACCACACTGATAAACCAACAAACTTTAAAAATGGAGATAGGATTACAGATCTAAATGTCTGGGCTAATGTAGGACTTCTTTATAGACAGATAGCTGGCAAAAGCTCTTTCATAGCCGGATTTCAGAAAGCAAAGGGAACAATTGCATACATTAACTGTAGAGAAAATTGTTTGTAATTACAGTGGGTGACTAGATCTTGCCTGGGGGAAAGAGTTTGCTTGTCTTCTTAGTACAAAGTTATTTTAGTTGTTATAAATTATTTTTGAATGCTAATGAATGCAGCTGAATGGCAGGGCTGTATTTTAAATTTGCAAAAGCCCTTGTGCCAGGGTGCCTGAAGCATTGCCAAGATATATTTATATGTACTGAGAAATTTACCAGGAATTCATCCTCTCTATTTTAGATAGGGTGGCTGCATACAACGCTATGCCCTTAAGGCTAATAACAATAGCTGTGCCCTCTACGTAACGTAGTATGTGTGACATTTTTGCATAGTAGGTATTATATTGAAAGCAATAAGTTGTCGGAGGAAAAAAATTTGAACACGCAAAAGGTCAACTGCTTCAACAATCTATAACTTGAGACCTATACACATTGCTTCAATGAAACCAACTATGAATAAGCAAATTGGAACGTGATGGATTATTTTAGGCAATGTATTTGACAGTCCTTTCAGTGATTCTCTTTCTTTTAAAGCAGGGGTGTCAAATTCAAAGCCTGGGGCCCGGATCTGGCCCATTGGGTGCTTAGATCTGGCTCGTGGGGCTGCCCTGGAAATAGCAAAGGACCGGCCCGTGGTGCCTCTGCCAGCAAAAATGGAGCTTGCGAGGACCGCGCATGCCCCCTCAGCTCCATTTTCTCTGGCAGAGTGTTGCAGAAAGTCGACACAGCCGAAAACAGAGCTCAGGAGCCTGTTTTCACTGGCAGAGCGCTTGGACCACAGGCTCCCCCAACACAAGTGACATCATGCTGCCACGTCCACCCTAGCCCCCCCCCCGCTCAACCTAATGCAGCAAGGACAACCCTGATGTAGCCCTCAATGAAATAGAGTTTGACACCCGTTTTAGAACTATGCCTAAGTAACTTTGAAACTTTGTGAAATCATTTTTTTAGCTTTGCTTTCCCACACCATTTTTTTGTTTTTGTTTTGTGCCTATCTTATATTACCAGTGCCAATCTTTCTAATCGGGGAATAGAGCTGTAGTCTTAGATGTGGTTAAGCCTGATTCTGATCCACTCTTTTAATAGTTACTAAAACTGACAAGGGTTTCACAAGCTCATACTCTCAGATCCTTGATTTTCTGTATCTCTTCCAATAAGCTAGAACTACAGTCTTCGGGGACTCATACTTGACAATCAGCTATATAAATTACAGAATCATGAACTTCTTTTTTCCCCCCTAGTAGAATGTACTAAGTGGGAGAGAGAAGGGAAAATAAAACTATGGGAAATTAAAAAGCATGAATTGAGAGATTGAGCTTTTCTTCTACCATCTTGCCTTCCTCAAAATGAAATATAATTATTTTCAGTACATATTGTAACTGCCTCTTCAGATTCCCATTAATGGCTTCATGGCTTCTCACAATAACAAAGGAATTTGACAAAACATTTTTCTGCCAGAAATTGGAAGCACTTAGCAATAGTACTTAGACTTATATACTGCTTAACAGTGCTTTACAGCCCTCTCTAAGTGGTTTACAGCGTCAGCATATTGGCCCCAACAATTTGGGTCCTCATTTTACTGACCTCGGAAGAATGGAAGACTGAGTCAACCCAAAGTCGGTAAGAATAAAACTGCTGGCAGTTGACAGAATTAGTAATAGCACTTAGACTTATATACCGCTTCACAGTGCTTTACAGCCCTCTCTAAGCGGTTTACAGCATCAACATACTGCCCCCAACAATTTAGGTCCTCATTTTACTGACCTCAGAAGGATGGAAGGCTGAGTCAACCCTGAGTCAGTAAGAATCAAACTGCTGGCAGTTGACAGAATTAGCAATAGACTTGTATACTGCTTCATGGTGCTTTACAGCCCTCTCTACAAGTGGTTTACAATGCCAGCATATTGCCTCCAACAATGTGGGTCCTCATTTTACTGACAGTCAGCAGAATTAGCCTGTAGTACTGCATTCTGACCACAGCTCATATTTATACTTACATTATAAATATAATTATTATAATATAATATAAAAATACATTTATATATGTACTATGCTTATGTTTACAAATCCATATTGTTGGTAATGTAAGTCAAGAACCATAATATAGTTGCAAATTTAAAAAGAAAATGAAAATTGCAGAAGAATAAGAACAAAAGCTGTAGGGGGAAGTTGTTAAGTACAGAAAAACCCCTGTACTAATACAATGGATAAAAAGAAGAAAACTGGGTAGAATATAGAACAGAAAATGCTTGGCTGGAAAGATGAAAAGAAAAATTTCCACAACAGGTGAACCTTTTCCCCCTTGTAAAACCAAGAACACATCTATGATAGGATGAGCTTTGCTATGCATTTAAATCTTCAATGGTCATTCTTAAATTGCTGCGAACCCTCGAAAATAGCAACTTGGCGTCTCCAGCAGAGCACATTCAGCACTGTCCTCAATTTATAAATCTGATTTATAAAATCAAACAATTTCCTTCTGTATAGATCTGCCCAGATTACACTTTTATAAACTAACCTGACTTTTTAACGTTTGTAATTTCAGGTAGAAAGTGCAATCGATGAATTACCAAAGAAGAACTTTGGAGACCATTAAAACAGGGAGGAGGAGGAGGAGGAGGAGGAGGAGGAGGAGGAGGAGGAGGAGGAGAAGGAGGAGGAGGAGGAGGAGGAGGAGGAGGAGGAGGAGGAGGAGGAGGAGGAGAAAAAAAAACTGCCCTAAAACGACCTACCCATTTTGCTGATTACTGTCACCCTGGTTCTCTCTGGATCCACTTTGCTGCCCCTCTGTCACCTCTGGGGCCCTTTCGCTGAGCGATGCATTGTGTGGGGATTGCCATGGGATATTTGCAGCACTCAACACAGGGCAACGTTGGTCAGCGTTAGCTTTGACATTAACATGCACTCCTGAGGCAGTGAACGGGGGAGGCGTGACAGTGGCCAGAGGTGTAGGGGAAGCATGTAATGGAAGACTGGAACTGGCGGGCGTGAAGGCAGATGACGGTGATGGGATGGAAGTGACCTTGGAGGAGGACACAGCTCCAAAGGGCCTGGGAGCCTTATTGAAGGCCACGCTGGTTGTGGATGAAACTTTGGGCACGGCTGGAGATGCAATGGGCACAGGCTTAACTAGGTCCTTGGGCTCTACCTAGGTGAAATAAAAACAGGAAAAAAAATACACAAGAAAGCCACACACACACATGCACATACACATGCAAAATATATCCACGGCATCTGTAGCGGTTTTGTTGTGAAACATCAATTGATGACTGACTGGTTGCACAAGTACACAGCATTGGCTGTAAAGCACTGACTGCCAACATCACACAGCGTGCGTCATTGAAAAAAAAAAAAAAAAAACCATGCGTGAGCTGGTAGCCTTAGATTTATTTTAGCCAAAAATGTCACTGTAAAATTGGATCCAACAATTAGGAGAAAAGTACAGTCCTCCAGTGCAAGGGTTACAGGTTATCAGTGAAAGGCAGAATCCTCATAGTGACATTTTTACTTATTAAAGGATTATGTGTCTCAGACAGGACTATATTGGAACAATGTCTCTACTTTCCAGTGACAAATGACCAATTTTTTTTTTTTTAGAAGTTAGTTTTGAAAATAGTATGAAGTCGTATCAAACTCTGACACCAGAGAAAAAGAAAATTACAAGTTTTATTGCATATAATCAGGCTCTGAGTATTCTTCATCTTACCTTCTCCTCATTCAAAAGCCATTGCTATCTTAGCTTAACTTAAAGCAGGAGTCTCAAAACCGATCGCATCGTGGGCCGTATCGTGACATATCACGCTGTATCGCAACATATTGGGATGGTTTTTTTGTGGGTGTGGCCGCCAGTTTGATAGGCCTGACTTAAAGGCAAACTCACATATTATCTTTGCTACAAAATGTGACAGTGTGTCTTCTTTTACTCAGTTCACTGCACTACAATAGCCATCAGACTTGCTGTACATGAATTTTATCTGTAATGTAGTTAAGCAAATCAACAGGCACCTATTAGATATCACATTCTACTAAGGAAAGCAAATCTTTTTGCATCTTTACAGACTCCTCTTCGTAATTGTATCATACCTTTAGAGATCTGGCAGGGAAAGTCTTACATTAAGCTACCTTCTTATAAAAGATAAAGGTAATCATTTTCTCTGTCTAGTCAGTCCAACTCTAGGACATGATGCTCACCTATTTCTTAGCGGGAGAAGCCAGCTTGGTCCTTTTGTGGTCATATGGACAGCATGATTATATTATTATGTGCTCATCTCCATTTCTTAGCTGAAGGAACTGGTACGGTCCTTTCATGGTCCTTCTGTGGTCATGTGACCAGCATGATTAGATGATGAGGCACACAGAATGCTGTTACCTTCCCGCAAAAGTGGTACCTATTTATCTAATTTCATTTGCACCTTGTTATAAAGCTCCTACTAAACATGCTTGTAGTCAGTTGCTCTTAGAATTTTAGGGAACTGAACAGGGCCTTTTAAGAATATGGCTGATCTCTATAAGTAGGAGCAGTTTCTTAACTTTTATCTAAGTTTGGAAGCTAAACTGGACTAGGGCTGGTTAGCATTAGGATGGAGAATGATTAGGAAATTCCAGGATGGTAGACTGGATTAGAAAGAGGGAAAATACACTGGAATGGAAAAGTTGTGCAAATCACTTCTTCACTGTTACAAACAAAAAACAAAAAACTGTGGAAGGGTGATCATTAAATCCCCAGGAGTTGAATTCAACTCAAAGAAAAGTCTGAAAGAACTACAATAGTTATTTCCCATGTTAGTTCTTGTTTTTGAAACCTTAAAAATTTTATATTGGTCGCTTGTCATCCGATATAAATTTGGCCAATGCCAAAACAGCTGCAGTAAGGAGGACTTTCAAAGCCAAAAAATTACACCTTAGTACCAAATGTTTAGGATCAAAGAAAATAGCATATCTCAAGGATTCCAAAATAGCATCTTTCAAAGTATGTCCCTATGCATGAAATGGGACATACAACACAACCATGTTGCACTGGAAGAGCTTTTCAGATCGACGGCACTGATTAAACAGAGCATTGAGAGATGGGAAAGAGTAAATTGGCTACAACAGGAATTCTCCTGTACTTAGGAACTGGGGAAGAACCCCTTACCTGCTGCACAGGAATTGGATCTGGTTTTGGAGCTGCAGGTGCTCTGAAAGAGAAAAAGGAAACAGATTACATGGCTTCTAAAGCAATTTATCCCAAAGTCCCATAGAGTCCATTACAATGTAGCTTCTAAAATCACAATGCAGATCAAACACTTTTTGAAGTCCCATTGACTTAATTCATGCTTGATAATGCTAATCAGTGGGACATGTCAGCTTAGCCAAACTTACATCAGCCGTTAATCAAAGTCTTATTTCAAATAACCAAAGATAAGTAGATTGAGCAGCAAAGCAGCTCCACCCAGGAAAGCAAAACTGAAGAGCAAACCATCTGCATCCTAAAATTAAACAAGAACGGCTTTGTATATTGAATGGACTTATAACTCAACGGGCCCATGCATGAACGATAAAACACTCCAACGTACTAACAAAAACCACACTGCTTTCAGTTTATACAATAGTGACAATGTATATGGCATCATCTCATTTATCCAACTGGCTTTACTTCCTACTGCAGGCACAGACCGCCAATGAATTAGTCCTAAAATAAACTGAAGGAGAATTTTGGAGGTTGCCTCATGAATAAAAGCTTTAAAATACAGCCTTCTTCCCATTCCTTGCACACCACATCTGTGAAGAGTCTCAATTTTTTTTTTTTATGGTGATGGTTATTCTTCTACTTTTCAACCTGCTATCATACTTTCTTAGAAAATGTTCACATATTATACACACACACACACACACACACACACACTACAGCAGTTTCCCTTTACAATACGTGTGCTGTTTCAGCTCTAAAGTGCATGTAAGTTGCAACAATTCCTTGAAATGACTTCCTAAATACATGGCTGGGACCCCAAGATGCAGTACCGATTTTTGGAAAAGATGTCATAAAATAGCAATAGCACTTAGACTTACATATTGCTTCACAGTGCTTTATAGTCCTCTCTAAGTGGTTTACTGTCAGTACATTGCCCCCAACAATATGGGTCCTCATTTTACCCACCTTGGAAGGGTAGAAGGCTGAGTCAACCTTGAGCCTGGTGAGATTCAAACTGCCAAATTGCAGGCAATCAGTAGTCAGCAGAAGTAGCCTGCAGTGCTGCACTCTAACCACTGCGTCACCGCAGCTCAATGTATTGAGCCGCATATTCTTCATCCACAGTATATTAAATTATTCTGGATATCCTGAGAATGATCCTCATTTCTGATTAAAAATTAATGGTGCTCTGAGTTGATCATTGCATTTAAGCCACAAACTGATGCTCAGTTAATCTGATATGAAATAATTTCTTAAGAATACTTGAGAAATTCATTTATACCTTAGCTGTCTCCCCTTCCCCTCTCAACTTACAAGCCTTAGCTTTATCCAATCCTTAAAAAAAAAAAGGAAGCAAGATTGCTACGGCTGCAGTAAAGAAAAATAAAAGAGCTTATGCTGGCAAAAACAGTACTTAAAAAAAAACACTGAAAGCAGTTTTCTTATGCATTATGGGCTGATTCAATTACTTCCAAACAAAAGCATATTTTAAATGCATTTTGTGGCTAGATTCCTGAAATAGTCTACTGATTATTACTCAGGATTGAAAAACCCGGAACATTTTTGCTCGCACACAGATAGGCACTGATGTGGCTGTGAAAACAAAAGTTAATAAACAAAACCAGGCAGAAATGACAGCTTTTGATGTACTGGGTCCTCATAGATCAAGACTGGGCAGATTGAAATAAGTGGCTGAATTTATCCATTAACTAAGCCCCATTCACAATAATTAGCCTTTTATGTGCCCAAGAGCTTGCCTATCACTATAATTTATAGTATAAAAGTCTGCACCAACAGAACATATGTGTGGATAATGCCACAGGACCTGTCTTCTGTTCTATTATCTCAATTTGGAGTAAATCATTTTTCCTATTCGTAATTTATTACAGAAAGAGGGGTGGTGCACCATATTAGGATTGCTTTCTGTATACTGACTGTATTTCAGTCAGTTTCAACCTCTCAATTTGACGAGGAGCCAATCATTTAAGTCAGGGGTGTCAAACTCAAGGCGTGCGAGCCAGATCTGGCCCATGGATGCTTAAATCTGGCCTGCGGGGCTGGCCTGCAAGTAGCAAAGGCAAGTAGCCCACGGTGCCTCTGGCAGCCAAATGCCCCCCCCCCCCCCATTTTCGGCCTGGACGACCTCCCACAGCACTCTGCCGGCCAAAACAGGGCATGAGGGAGCGCACAAAGCTCCCACACACTGTTTCGGCCAGCAGGGTGCCGCAGGAGGCCATCCATGCTGAAAACAGGGCAAAGGGTTGGCGTGTGAGGCCCCACTGCACCCCATTTTGGCTGGCAGGGAGCTGCAGGATGCCTCTGTCCCATCTCCCCCCCCCCCAGCCGGCCTGCGGAGGAGAACTACAATGCTGATCCGGCCCTCAAAGAAATCCAGTTTGACACCCCTGATTAAGTGAATGATTAATGAATTAATCATGATTAATATCAAGAGCATTATACATTAAATCTATATCAATGGAAAAGCGGGAACACAATGTTTTCTTGCAAGAATGGAAAAATTGGGAGGAAATAAGCAGTTGCTCTATGTTTCTTCAGTCTCAATTAACTAATTGGAAATGCTGTATCTGTGTCAAAACCAACCAGAATTATGAATTCTACAACAAACAGAAGAACAAGATCTATTAAAACAACTCATTTATTATATGGACAGTTTAATGGCTTTTCAACCACTCAGTCCTAAATCTATTTAATTTAAAAAATAGGTTGTGCCTTCAGATCACAACCTGCTTAATCTGTCAGTTATATTTTTAGCAAAAATAGTCAATGGTCCAGTAGGTCTTAGAACCATATTTGTTTCTGCTGCAACAGTTACTCCTAACTATCCCTTTCCCTTTTAATATGATATGGATACACACACACACACACACACACACACACACACACACACACACACACATATATGCAGGTCTTGGTGTATTTGGGTCTTTTCACGTGTAAGATTGAGAATATCTTGGCGACGTTTCGACGAGATCCCACCCGAAACATCGCCAAGATACTGTCAATCTTACATGGGAAAAGACCCGAACACACCAAGACCTGCATACCTGTACCCGTGAAAATCTACAAAAACAAATGTGTGTGTGTATGTGTGTGTGTGTGTGTGTGTGTGTGTGTGTGTGTGTGTAGATAGATAGATAGATAGATAGATAGATAGATAGATAGAGAGAGAGAGAGAGAGAGAGAGAGAGAGAGAGAGAATGAATCAATAAATCCACTTCAACCCTTTCTACCAATATATTAGCTATTTCATGTAACGAAATAAGGTGAATTTCTCTACAGGAAATATAAACCAACAAACTCTTCATTCCTTACATTTTTGTTTTGTTCACCTTTTCCTGCTTGGTTCATCTTTTCCTGCTTATTTGAGACTTAAAAAAAATATGGAGAACTCTGCCAAGTCATCCATCCAGCAATCTGGAAACATTTGCTTCAAGACAAAACTGCTTTGTTTCAAGTCAAAGCTACAGCTTGCTTTATAAAGCAAAGTTATAAACCAAAAAAAGCTGAAATGCAAGAGGGAATGGAAAAGGAGGAGCACATCATAACACAATAGTTTTTAGTAGTTGGCTGAAGAAGACAGAAATTAGCAACCACACTCAAGCAAAAAAGCTAAATAACATTGGGGTGGAGACTTGGCTATTTTACTATACAATTTTGTTGCAAGCATTATATTCCACAATGTCACAGACAATGCCAGCATTTCAATAATTGCCAGACACATAAATTATCTGAAATTGTTCTATTTCTAGAGGCTAGGTCCATTCAACATGCTTCCAGTAAAGTCAAGTAAAACCCTGCAGTTTTGACAATATATTAGTTTAATTATATTGAGGCTCAGAAACGATGCACAGGTATCCCATATAAGTCACAAAGATGCCATGTTATTTGCACAATGACTTCTTGACAAATTAAATAAAAACCCGCCCTCAGAAGCTCATGATTAGCTTAATATATTATGAAATGCAGAAAATGGGTTAATACAGTAAACCAGTGTTACATTAACTACCTCTACAGAGGTAGAAAAATGAAAAATGGAGAACAACCTGAGAGTTAATATATCATTCTGGCAATCACAATGACAATCCTGGGTATAACTACAATTACCATATTAAGTACAATTTCCTATCAATATTGGCACTATTTTATGATGGGATATTACCATATTCTATCATAAAACTAAGTTAAATGTCATCACTTCAGTATTGCTTTTCTCTTCCCTCAATTCTGGTTAACAGGAACAGATCAAAAGATGCTGAATAAAATAGAATAGAATATTCTTTATTGGCCAAGTGTGATTAGACACACAAGGAATTTGTAAACATACATTCATTATAAAACATTAGATACAATAGTTAGTAATAGTCATGAATACTAAATATGCAATCAACATAAATCATACTAGGATACTATGTAAACAATATAAATAGTAAGATACAAGCAACATATAAGAAAATAAGGAGATAGGTAATAGAGAAAATGAGAATAATTATGGCAATACTGCCTTTCTAGATAGTTTGACAGTGTTGTGTGAATTAGTTGTTTAGCAGAGTGATGGCATAGGGAAAAAACTGTCCTTGTGTCTAGTTGTTCTGATGTGCAGTGCCCTATAGTGTCGTTTTGAGGTACAGGGTAAGTTGAAACAATTTATGTCCAGGATGCGAGAGGTCTATAGATATTTTCACAGCCCTCTTTCTGGCTCGTGCTTTATATAGGTCCTCAGTGGAATATCACATTTTGACTTTTGTGTTCATTCAAAGAGATTACTCCAATAAAGCTTTTGGATTTTTTTGTCATTACAGCCTACTATTCTTTATACACACAGTTTGTAAACAATATCTTTTTGAATATGCGTGTATGTATGTGCACACATAACGCTTTGATTTACTTTACAGGAATGGGTTTTTTTTCCATTGAATTTTTTACATTCTTTTACATAGCATACTGCACATTGCTAATTAATAGTAAGGCAGTTGGGTACATAATTCT